ACTTTGTCATTAAGGAGCAAACCATGGTTGAGAACAGGTGGAAATGATGGCATGCTTCCCAATAATTCACAAAAATGCAAGGAAAGGCACAGATTTGGTGTGAGCCCTGATGAAGTTCCGAAGCTGTAACAGCTAAGTCATCGAGGCACGTTGGTAGCCCAGCTGGCCTGTTTACATGCTGCCACTGCAGTCGGTGGCTCCTGACTGTGTTGAAATGTGTGGTGGAGAAACCTTTGTGACTCCGCTATCGCAAATCGATCGGCGGAGTTCATTTGGCAAGCTGATTAAAATTTCCACCAAAAACTAAATAGCTCATTAGGGCAGCTGTTCGGGATTATGTGACAAAGGGTAGTCCCTTCTGGAGTAAGAAAGACGAGTCCCCAGGTCTAGCAGCCGCAACACTGCCGCGACTCGAAAGTGCCCAGCAAGGGTGCTAGGGCCTTCTTTGGTACGCTGCCGGCGCTACCACTCTACCAATCGCAGCATGCGTGGCGTTTGCGCCCTCTCGCGTACGACGTACTCTCGCGTTCTCTCCTCGCAGCGTAGTGTCTTCCTTCATACCACGGCCGAACTCACAGGGAAATTAAAGTTTCCATTATGCTTTTTGCGTTTCTCTCCACTCACACTCCTCGTCGCATTCATGTCTAATTTTCGAACGAAAGATCCAATTTGATCCCGATCTGTGCTTTGAACTATTTCCATTTCACCTATATCTTCACTTCGTAAGTGAATTTTGCAGCGAAAATTGTAGAGGTTGCTTTTGGCTTTTAGGCTTTCTTCACACTGGGGCCGCGGCGAGGGCGGCCGAGTTGGTATTCACCTCCGCTGCACGGATAAATTTGAAAACGCTCCATAAGCGCAGTTCGTGGGCACCTTGAATAGATCGTTTTCAAATTTATCCGCGCAGCGGAAGCAATACCGACTCGGTCGCGCTTATCGTGGCCACATCCCAATGTGTGAAAAAGTCTCGGAGCCAAAAGCAACGTCTACAATTTTCGCTGCAAAGTCACTTACAAAGTGAAGATGTAGGTGAAATGGAAATACTTAAAAGCACAGATCGGGATCAAATTGATATATCTCATTGTGTGGACTCTCAAGTCTCGGAGCCGTTGCTTTTTTGTGGTCACTATGTGTTCCTTTTGACAAAATTCTACTGCTGTTTATCTAGGTGACCTTCAACATTGATTTTGATGTATTCATCATTGCGAAATTACTCTGTGACATTCATGTTTTCGTGCTCTTAATACCCAAAATAAGCTCATGTAAGGTGAGGCCAGCGAGCTAGCAAAATCGCTAATGTCCCACGCGCCAAAACTACCAAAACACGCGACGTTGTCAAAGTGTTAGGGTTTCTTTCAGTTTTCGGTGAACAAGAGGGAGGCGATGCGAGCCCTTCAGATACAAAAGTGCAAACTGAAAGGACGGGACGTAGGCTTGGCCAGGAACCGTGTGCCGTGGTTCCCCAGCTCAGGGTACGTAAGGAGTGGCGTCTTACTGTAGGTGTGATTTTGGTAATTATGAGAAACTATTTCCATAAAGCAAGTTAAACAGTTTAGATATTATGACTATTGCCTCCTGTAATTGGTATCTCACTATTTTTGATTTCTTACAGGCATATCGGAAATTGTATTTAACATAATGTTTTGTGTTCTGTTGTGTTTATTACCGATAATAAATAATAAATAAAATGTTTTTTTATTGCTGATGTACCGCTTTGTGGTGGCGCGTACTGACATTCACATTTTTTTTGTTTCTTCTCATCAATGGCTCAGCCTTTAGCGTTTTGCTGATTCGCTAATTGCATAATATTGTTGTCATGCATATTGTACGATGGGCGTTGTGGACAGTGAGAAAACATCAAATAAATTATATGGAAAACTTAGGCGCCATTGCTCCCATGCGATATTACTGTGATATGATCATCATTCACGGTCGTCAACGTGTTAATTTAAATATCTGCTCCTCTGCCGGAGAGCGTAGCATACGGCTCAGGGTGCTGCTTTTCCGGGGTCTGTGGAGATGCTCTTTAGATCTTTTTGCTTTGTCTAAAGCTTTTGATCGTTACGCCGACTATCGTAGTGATGCGACTCGCAGAGATCTTGAAAGTAACAAAATAGTGAATTCTAATTACCTGCAAACGAAAGTATTATAGCAAAAAATCAGGATTGGTTCGTGAAGTAGGGTCATATTCAGCTGGAGTTGTTACGGTTGTCAAAACTGTTTCTATGTTTTTGAACGGTGAGCAATTCACTTGGTGACATGGTGCAATATGAATTAGAAATTATGCTCTTTTGTCGCTGGATATATAAGCATGCTGCTGCCGATAAATTATTTCACTATCACCACATCCTCATCCAATTTTTACCTTTATTCCCTTTGTTTTCTTTGTCCTTTATGCTTCGCTGTCCATCACTCCTTCATCTATCTTCTATCTATTCCATTTTTATTTTGAAGGAAAACTTCATTTTTTGCTTTTCTATTACTGTATGGCCGTTTTTTCCTTTAGTTAGCTCACTTCCGTGAATGGATAGCTGATCCAATAATGGCCCAATATTGAGCGAGCCGTCATTGATTGCCTTGTAACAGAACAGAGCCTTTTCTGCTGAGACAATTATCTCTACGAATATTCGCCGTTTATATAAAACAATACTTTTGTATTATTCATCGAAATTAAGCCTGTGCCTCTGTTGCTCTATGTGCAGAAAAAGGATAAGGGATAAAGTTGTCCTCGTGTAGATCAGTTACCATTTTGGGATTGCGCTGCATCATTGCTTTAGGAATTGAATGTTCATATTGGAATCTGCGCATGCGTGCGTTGTCCATGCCGTGCTATCAAGTGCTTCTTATCCTGGCACTTCTGTTGGTGCCAATCAGTATTGGACCCTTGGCGTGGGGCGCCTTAAAGGTTGATTTGGGCTGGCGGGAGTCGGTCACATCTTCCTACGCCGAAACAGAGTAAACACAGTCGCGTCCGCACTGTTTTCTAAAATTGTTGCGGACCCCTCCTCCTTATAGATGTCTCGACGGTGACTCCCATTCGGTCACCAGTCGGTGAGCCACAAATCCCTTCAATTTCGCCGTATTTCACGCTTTTTCCCGTGTGGTTAGCTGGACATTCGTCAAAAGGATCCCCTCTTGCGCTCACAACACCATTCTTATCACCCTTCAACTTCCACAAATAAAGCACCCCCTCGCTCTTTTCCCAAAATGGGTGCCGTCAGTCAGCCCTAAATACAACTCCCCTCCTCATTCTCAAAATCACAAATGCGACTCCCTCGTTCGAATAGTGACACGGACTCTTGACCAGCGCCGTAACCATGCGCGTGGAAAAGTTGCTCACTTATCATGCATTTATCTCATCCATGCTTGATCAAGTGATACGTAATATCTTCTGGACTGTGATTGTTAGTAATTTTATACGATTGATAATATGCGCTTATTCGTAGTGCTCTACTGGTAGAGAACGTTTATTTCACGGTCAGTTGTTAAGTGTTAGCTGTTTTCAAGCAACAAAACAAAACCTTTCCTGACTAGACTTTCTCCTTCTTTTTTCTTCTATTCTGAAAAAAATATGACTGTTCATCATTGGTGCATTAGTAATGAATAAGTATTGCTAACTGGTTAGAAGATTATTACTGGTTTATATTTGATGCGTGTTAACTTTCTGCACTCTTGGTCCCTCATACTGTTTCTGCTTAGCTTTTTCTTCGCCAAGATGGATTTCAGTTGTCACACCAGTTTTTTTACTCGTTTATCTCCCCTTCCCTCGCCTTTCTTTCTGCTTTCGACAGATTTAAAGCATACATCTTAATCCTCGCGTGGTTAGGAGGTTGTATTGCTCCCATATCTTGGTGTTGTTACGATAGTAATAGCGCTGGAATCGGCAATTGCGGAGTGAGTACTCATTCTTTTTTCACAGACTTTTCGTTAATAGTAATTTCACTCTGTTGTGTTTTAGCGAGAATGCGACAAGCTGCGTTCTGTTTTGGAACAAAAGGCGCAGTCAGCGGCCAGTCCAGCAGGCGCGGTGCAGCCCCTGCATCTCCACGGTCCGAACAACATTGGGGAACGACGGCTTGAAGAGGGTAATTGTTTACATAAGCTTTCTCTCCTTATTTTCTTTTACTGGAATGTTTGGAGATTTCAATTCTTTAGAAGGCTACTTCCTGGCTGAGGTGCCTGCAAGTTACACGAGTAAAGTTAGCCGTTTCTCGCAGAGCCAACTAACTTCGAAACCCAAGCCACCACGCTACAGCACTACAACAAAACTGCGGGGTTGGTATCTGTTCATAATCGATATCCCTTTATTGCTCATTAGACAAGTAATGGTTCCGCTTTTTGGAATCCTGATCCAGATCCTGGATGGACGGACTCCCGGTTGGGGGGGGGGGTGTGGTGGGGCTGATTGGGTGGATGCCTTAAAGCGACGGCTTTGTGTTCAATCCTTCGGTGTCCGGAAAATCTATAATTCAACAATACTTCTATCCCGTCGCAGTTGTAATTTTCTAGTGTATTTGGTGTAGGGGCCTATTATAGTGAGAATTTTAGGAATGAGTCTAGCTGTGAATTAATCTTAAGACTTGTTAGGCACTCGTTAGTGTGCTCTTTGTGACGAACTTCTTCAAATATTTTGAAAATTTTCTTCGAAGTTATAGGAATAAAGCTGGTTGTCGGTAAGCCAAAACACTTCGCTCATTTTCAATGCCTTGCCCATTTGCCCCAAAGCTCTCTGTGAGAAGTCAAAAAAATTTCGAAGCCTCCGATTTGAACGTTCTTTACACTCTTAGGCTCATCGCTGTTTTTTCAGCTTTCCATCCATTGCTTGTTGTGCACAGTGTACGGCAATATTGGCTCGCTGGTTCATGTAAAATCTGTTTACTCGTCGATTCATTTATCTGCTCATTTGTTTCAGTTCAAAACAACTGATCCGGGATGCAGTCCACAAAAATGACTTCTTGAAACAACTGGCAAAGGAGCAAATCATAGAAATAGTAGAATGCATGTATGAAATGCGAGCAAGAGCTGGACAATGGGTAATCCAGGAAGGAGAGCCAGGAGATCGATTGTTTGTTGTAGCAGGTAGGTGACAGCTTGATTTATGATTTTTACTGGTAGGTAACAAAAATGTTCGAATATCACAAACACTTGACAAGCTGTTGATAGTTCTTTGGTGCAAGCGCTAAGATTGAGCAACTGTGTAATACAATGTTAGATAAGGGCTGTTAACTTGACCATTCGATTTTTTTCTGTGTTGAGGGTTCTTTGAACCTGGCTGTAATACTGAAATTCGGAGGAAATTCTTTTCTGGGAAGAAATTCTTAAGACTTTTATTCAATTAGTGCTTATTTAATTAAAACCTGTTCTGAAAGACCGTTTCCTTGTTAGCTCTGTGCAACTTAAAATTTTTCATAATTATGGATGTTGATTGCATTAATTTTTTAGAGGGAGAATTGCAAGTATCTCGAGAAGGGCAACTGTTAGGAACGTTACGACCTGGAATCGTAATGGGAGAGCTTGCCATTCTCTACAACTGTACTAGGTTGGTTTATCAATACAAGTAATTTTCAACTCCTTAATCGTTCCTGAAAACGCTCTCTTTTTTCCAATCAGTTGAATTACATCTTAGAACCAATTTGGTCTCTGCAGATGCCCAATTCTACGCCTACGCGCGTAACGCATTGCTGAGAGGCGGGTACATTAGGTCACCACTTCGGTCACTGCGCTCTGGGACGGTCGGCGGATGTGCTGATGGCGATTGTGCGTCAGATAGATTTTCCGGCAGTGAAATGCTGTTGATGTGTGGCAAACTCGAACTGCCTCTTCATGTCCACCCACAATTTCCTCAAGCTGTCAGCACGGACATTTTCGCAGGCCTTCCGCACGCTTTACCGTCGTCTGACTCGTCGGTTTGGAAAGTGAGCGTAGCTCTGTCACCTTGTACCTTTTTCGACACATTAGCGACAGTCAGTTTCGATGAGAAAAACGAAGTGATTGCGCGTAGTCGTCGAGGTTATTGCTATTTATATCGCAGTCCATCGGGCAACGGCGTGTGATTTGACTATTTTTCGGGGTGTAGCGTTTATACGTAGTGACATATTCATCCATTGCAAGCTTGACAACAGGGAGTGCTCATAAGTTGCGAAAGTTGTGTGTTTTATGATTTTTCATTCAGAACTGCGTCCATACAAGCCCTAACCGACGTACAATTATGGGTGCTAGATCGCAGTGTCTTCCAAACCATAACGCAGAGGCTTGGAATGGAAAGACATACCCAACTGATGAACTTTCTCAGCAAGGTAACAATCTTTATGAGGGAATTATTTCTTCCCGTGTCGATTCTGGAGGAAAGCCATACGAAAACACTAAGCGCTTGCTTGAACAGAATTCGTTTCGCCTTTTTTTCTTTGGTAGTTGTGACGAAGAGCTTATCATTGAACTGATTGATTGCTTTTGCATTTCGATTTGAAACCTTTCATCGTTCAGCTATTGTACCCCAGTCGTACGAGTAGTACGGCCTCCTTTGAAAAAAGTATCGGTCGTTTCCTGTTTATTTTATTCTACTCATAATCGTAAACGAAAGGAAAATTGTTGATTTTTCTGCAAGATAAGGGAGGGTGTACAACTGTATGCCCTTTGAAGCGATTCCTTTTTCATTTCATTCGTCCTAAGGAGGCTTACCTTGTCACTTTCGGGCTTTCAGAGTAATCTCTTTATGAAAAAAGAAGCCTGGAAAGGTAAACTGGAATGAAGGCAGATTGTCTGATAGATTTTTTTGATGTTGCCGTATGTATCTGGCTGTTCTTTGGGATAACTTTGATACTGTGTTCCATTCGTATGGAAAAGCAATCAGTAAGGGATTTTTATAGTAGATTATTAAATTCTCAGAGCGGTATGATTTTTGAGTTCAGGTGTCGATTTTCGAAAATTTGTCCGAGGATCGCATTTCAAAAATGGCGGACGTAATGGATCAGGATTACTATGCAGCCGGGCATTATATTATCCGCCAAGGAGAAAAGGTACGCTGATGTTCCTAATTGAATAATTACACTGTTTTTCTTTTATGTCATGTTCTTTGTGAATAGTAATATGATTTGTCTAGGGTGATGCTTTCTTCGTCATAAATAGTGGTACTGTAAAAGTGACGCAATTAATAGAAGGCGAAACAGAACCACGTGAGATCAGGATATTGAATCAGGTATATTCTCGCTCAATAATCCTTTGAAGTTTTCAGAGAATTCGTATTTTATTGAAAGTATTGATTGTTTAGGGAGATTTCTTCGGTGAAAGAGCTCTTCTTGGAGATGAAGTTCGCACGGCGAACATCATTGCTCAGGCGCCAGGTGTCGAAGTATTAACATTAGACAGGTAAGCCGAAAAAAATTGTCACTTCATCATCAAATGCTGTCCTTTCCCTAGTCACTGCTTATTCCAGGGAGTCATTCCTCAAGCTAATTGGTGATCTGGAAGCATTGAAACGAGACTACGGCGACAAGGAACGGTTAGCACATGTCTCAATAGAGCCACCGAGTCCTACAAAAGTAAGTGTTTTGAGTTTATTGCAGCTTATGCTAGCTTCAATGGCATTGTCCCTTTCCTATTTTTGGAACAGAGGTGAACTATTGAAGACAGAGTTACCCTACGGGCTTGTTCGGCTGAAATTAAAGTTACTTACCTTAAAGTGCCCTAAGGGTATAGATTGGGTTCATTACGGTTACATCATTGCTATATATTAGTGCAGATGTCTCCGCAACTGATTTGTTCTTTAAGGACTATCTTACGCGACGTATTTGATCATCAGTCAAATAGTGAACATTCTATAATTTTTGAAAGGAAAATGAAGTCGTTCAATGATCTTCATTTCCAGGATACCATCCGAGAAGAGTTTGCACACGTCCAGTTGAAAAACATAAAGCGGTTAGCAACCCTTGGCGTGGGTGGATTTGGACGTGTAGAACTAGTTAGTTAATTTTTCTTCTATTTCATTTGAAATTCGTAGCACAAACTACAACCTTTCAGGTTTGCATTAATGGTGATAAATCCCGAACGTTTGCTCTGAAAGCATTAAAAAAGAAACATATCGTAGACACACGGCAACAGGAGCACATTTTCGCGGAGCGAAATATCATGATGGAGACTAACTCCGAATGGATTGTCAAGTAAGTGTGGGCTATTCAACTAAAGCTCGCTTTATACTGCCTCAATGTAGTAGATTTAGCTTGGCATCATTTGGTCTTGTTTAGGTTATTCAAAACATACCGTGATACAAAATACGTGTACATGCTTCTCGAAGTGTGCTTGGGTGGAGAGTTGTGGACAACGTTGAGAGACCGAGGTCATTTTGATGACTATACTGCTCGATTTTATGTTGCCTGCGTGCTCGAGGGATTAGAGTACCTCCACAGAAAACACATTGTGTATCGTGATCTCAAGCCGGAAAATTGCCTGCTCACCAACACGGGATACCTCAAACTAGTACGTGTTTTCCTTTTGGAACATTCACTTCACATCAATGGTTTCCTTTATCTAATTGATTTAGGTCGATTTCGGTTTTGCCAAGAAGTTAGCGTCAGGTAGAAAAACGTGGACGTTCTGTGGAACACCAGAGTACGTGTTTTTGTTTTGCTTTCATTATAAAAAGACTTATTATCTCAATCTTATTATCTTGAACTTTGCCTGGCAGACGAAACTCACATCTTGAACACTGTTTTCAATTTGAGTATGCAGGGATTTCAATTTTTCCTCTCGACATTGAATCACATGCGGTGTGGGATTTTTGAAAATTACTCAGTAAAAGAATTTCATGTAGAAGTTCTTCACCAAGAGCAAATGCTCAATTAGTAAAGATATTGAATATATGGTGGTTTTGTACGATTTCCTGTGTTTGTTCGTGGAACCTTTTGCAAATCTGACCATGAGACGGATCGGCAACATGGGCTGAGCACATAGGAGTCCGTTGATTTTACTTTTTTTTCTACTTTTTCATCAATCGAGTTGTAATTCCTGATGTTCCTTTTATCAGTTCTACTGCCAGGTAACAGAGCGGTTTAGTGGTGAATCATTTGAGGACCAATAAAAAGGGTTTTTAGTCTGACTTGACAGAAATTCCAGTCTGCGACGCAGCTGGCAGCAACACTTTGCTGTTGTTTTCATTTTGTTGAAACAGATCCGAACAAAGTTTACTTTTTGAGCTCAAAAATATATTTGATCTTTAAATTCAGTGCGATATCTCGGTTTTAGTGTCTAGGGAGTGTGCTTTGCCTTGAGTGAAAAGAAACTAAAAAAAAAATTGAAGAAAAACGAAGGGTATAAAAATGTAAAAACTCCTGAGGAATCTAGAAAGATGTGAAAAAGATTGGAGCTCAAAGCCTGAGGGATTAGGAAGGCTGTAACAGGCACAAAAAATAGTTATCAGCTATATTTCGTTTATGTTTTCAAACCTTTATGTGTAATTTCCAGATACGTGTCACCAGAAATTATTCTGAACAAAGGCCATGATCAAGCCGCCGATTACTGGGCTTTAGGTCAGTTCAGGTTTATCTTTTTCGGAGCTAGGTGACATAAAATACACTTACTATAGTGAATTCAATAATCTTTGGAGAATCTTACTCTTTTTATGAGCAACAGGCTAGTTTCTGAGGTATCCTATTGAATCATTGGCCGGTCGCACTCAAAAGCTGAGTTGTTCTCCCAGATGGGAATTAGTGTTTTTATACTTCCTCTCACACCTTAAAAATGATCCCAGTAATGTTCACTTGTATTGTAACTGCATTTTGTCCTGGTCATACCTACCACTGGCCTTGTTTTAGGAATATACATATGTGAGCTCATGCTCGGACGGCCACCTTTCCAAGCCAGCGATCCTATGAAAACTTATACTCTCATCTTGAAAGGAGTCGACGCTCTCGAAATTCCAAATCGGTGGGTTTTTTTGAGCAATCTCGTAACATCATATCAGCTCTTATGAGATATTTCAGCCGGATTGGAAAGACTGCAACTGCTTTGGTGAAGAAACTATGTCGCGATAATCCCGGAGAACGGCTAGGTTCTGGATCTGGAGGCGTGAACGACATTCGCAAACACCGGTGGTTCATGGGCTTCGACTGGGAAGGTCTGAGGTCCCGTGTACTGAAAGCACCTATACTTCCAAAGGTGATTTTTCTTTCAAGTCTTTTAACACTGTGATGAAGTTCAAGTTTCTCCCATGAAGTCCACCTTTGGACTGTACTATGAAGCCTGAAGGCGGGGTTTTTGAGGAAGATATCATTCATTGCATTCAAGGATCATCGTGCTTCAAAACCCCTTTCGCATGTTTTCTAAATTTTATATGATCTTTAGGTGTCGAATCCAGCTGACGTCACTAACTTTGACAATTATCCCCCTGATCAGGACGTGCCACCGGATGAGTTTTCCGGATGGGACGAAGGTTTTTAAGCCGCAGCCAATTTCTAATGCCTCTAATTGCGGTGTACAATGCCACGCCGTGTACGTCTCACTGTTGTTCGTTTTGTTTAGAATTTATGTGTACATAATAATTATGGAATGTTAGAAATGGCTAACATTCATCTGTTAGTCTATACTTGTTATAATCGTCATTAATTCGCTTCTTTTTTCCGTGTAACTGTAGATTCTAGTCTGGTGAACATCTTTTTTTTACATTTTTTATTTTTGATCAGGTTTTATTTCATTGTGTGATTTCTTGAGATTGTTATCTTTTTGCATATAAGCTTAGGCGAACTCTCATCGCCATTGTGAGCGTGACCCCATAATTGTCTGTCTTATTCTTATCTGTATTTTCATACTCTCTTGTCATTTCTCCTCTTGTTTCCCCTTATGTTCCTGTTTGCTGGTCATTCTTAATTATTATCACTGTTGCGTAATCTGCCATCATGATGCGTTGATACTGATTTTCATATACCCGGTAGTGGCGATGGACGCGTTTGTCCTTCCTCTCGTTGTTTTCTTCTTTTGTTTGTCGTGTTCTATGCGCGCGGAGAGTGGGTATCACCTCATTTCTTCATTAAACTAATTACACGTGTCCAGCCAAATGTACACTCAGCAGCCGCTTTTCAAATTTAATAAAATTCTATGACATTATTTCTCGATGTTTGGTTCTGAGCTCTGTGCGCATGTTGTTGCATGTCGATTGAAACTTCTCGCAGTGTTTGTTGCTGTCAGTTTGGATCAGGTAGTTGGGAATAGTGACCTCGATCAGTATCACCCAAAGTGAATAGCGGTCGAATAATTCCTCGACATGGCTCTGTGCTGCGCTAGAGTAGTGCCGAGAGTGAAAGTGCGCGCGGAGAGCACAGACGCTCATGGCGAGGGTGAATGTCGGCGCGGGAGAGCGTAAATGATCAGGCGAAATCCTCGAGAAGCCATTAAAGAATCCTCGACTGATATTCATTCTGGTATCATCAGTCCATTTCCGTACACTGCAATGTGAATTTAATCTTTTAACTAAATTTTTTTGAGGGGAGAGTTGGG